CCCCCCCCGCGCACCCCCCCACGGGCCTGGGCTGCTCCGCTGGAATGCAATTTTTTTTTCCCCTACCCTCGGGCTGGGCTCATGGATGGACTTGGTCTTATGGCCGAGGGAAACCATCGAGTTTTGACCGATTTAGCTTTGACTTTGTCTATTGGGCCAAAAATTTGGGGTGAATCCATAATTTGGGCTAAGCCTTTTTACTCGAGCCGAGGTTTTTGAGTCACGGCTTGGGTTTGTAAGCCTTGCCCTTTGGTTTTGCTTTTGGGCCAAATCTCTTCTGTCTTTTGCCCAAAATATGACTTAATGGGCATTCCAATGTCATCTCCTCTCATGGGCCAAAAGAGAAAAACTTGGGCACAAACAAAACCATCTCATTAAAGGGGTATTAGTTGGATTGACTCATGATTTTGGTGTGCTTGCAAGTGGTTCATGGTACCTGTGTGTGTGAGTTTCCCCCTCTTCTTCCTAACTTTGGCCCCCCCAAAAAAAGGTATTAGACCATCTCCAAGTCAAGCTTCCTACGGACCCAAATTTGGGAAATGCCACAGTACTCGAGGATTGGGTTACAAATTTGGCCTAAAACCGACCCAACCAAACCTGTGCCCATTAAGTTGGATTGGGTTCCATTTGACAATGTCTAGATTTTATCGATACCTTAGTCTTTGAGAACACAATCTTAAAATTACAATGAGTTTTTATCATAAATAGCCAAAATTTACCCATTAAATTCATAAATGTCAATTTTTTATTATAAAAATTTCAATTATAGCAAAAAATGCAATTAAAAATACTTAAATGCCCTTAAATTTAAAACCCAGATAAAAACCTAAAAAAACAAAACCAAGCATTGTCTTTGTTGTTGTTGTGAATAAGCGAACGCACTCAGGGCGTCCCCCCCATAGCCCAAAAAGCGTAGGGAGGAGGGATGCCCAAGCGGGAGTGAGTGAATGACCCAATGTGTGTGGCGGTTGTCAAGGGGAATCCTAAACCTTTTAATAAACTGAAAGAGAGTGAGGCTCCCCTACAGGAGCCGAGCGGTAGGCGCTTAAATTTAAAACCCAGATAAAAACCTAAAAAACAAAACCAGTTCTTCCTTTTCTGTGTTTTTCCTTCTTCATTTCATTAACATGATTGGAACTAGGAATTGGAATACACATGATAATATTGCTAACAGCTGCAGACTCTTTCTGCAGTAACCAACATATAGGCAAGCAAATCAAACATAAGCTTTAAACTTTCTCATATAGCCTACCACACTTTGTCTGCCAAAAACCAAAAAAAAAAAGCCTGTCACACTTCTGCTACTCAAAATTTTCCTTCGTATACAAAATACTAGAGCTAATTAATTTGGCCGATGGTTTTCTTATTATTATAATACTTCGGATTTTGTTTGGTTCTGTTGTTAAATTGTCACTATTAATCACCCGATGCAACAAAACCACCCCCCCCAACAGCTTCATCATTCTAAGCTTTTTCCTTGCCCATCTTATATATTCTTATTTGTAAAGAAAATTCGGACCAACAAAAAGTTTGTACAGATAATCAATTTTTACTGGTGAGGAAAAAAAAAATTTAACTACATCCCTCCCTCTTTGAACCGATGCGAAGAAAGAGTTTTTATTTTTATTTTTTTGGTAATTAAAAAAAGGAGTTTTGACTTTTAGATTTACGAGGATTTTAATTTTGAAGATATTTCAGCCTATTTAAGTGAGATTTTTTCTATATTTGAAAGCTTTTATAAAAACTGACATTTATGAATTCAGGAAAATTTATGGTTAAAACTCAATTGGGTTTGCTGATTTGGTTTCCATGAACAAGCGGCATCAGATGGGAAACCCAAATAGTCAACATCTACAAGCTCACTGATTTGAGTCATTTTCAGAGGAAAAAAACTTCAAAACGACGACGTTTCTTGTTAACCATTACACTAATGCACCATCATAAACAACCAGCACCTTGGTTATCTGTGTCAGTCGTCATTTAGTCAACAAAGCTGAAGGCTGAAATTGACTCTCCATTTGGTCCCGTAAGGTAATTTCTGGGTCTTCTTTATCATTTTCTGCTTCACAACCTGTTGCATTGAAAATCTATCATCTCTCTCTCTCTCTCTCTCGGTTGTGTAATTGATTTTTTTGCTAAGTGTATCTAAGCACCGATTTCAGTTTGGATGTTCTAGTTTATATTTCCTTTATACATAATAAAAATTAAAATAAAATAAACAAGTAGAATATTGTCTTCTCCACTGCCCTCTGCAGATTCTCCTTCTGTAAACCTAGCGTCATATTGATTGACCCAAATAACAGTTTGGGCATGTTAAGACAGTTTGGGGAAGTTGGGAGCTATATTTGTGGTAAAAGCATGTTACTTTTCTTGTGAATTTAATCCCTCCCAGTACAAGTCAAGCTCTAGTTCTATGATTATCCTCAGCAGTTCTATACAATTCTTGTTTGATGGTTTTAGCTCTAAGGAGAAACGGGTGTTCTTTATGTCCCCTCTCTCCATTTGACTTTTTTGATATCAGGATCAGTCATTAGGAAAAGCCAATTCTTGGAAAGCATTCTAAGAAGATATTTATTTCTTGTGTGAGCCACTCCTAATCAAAGTTTGTTTGGGGCCTCCTTATCCAGATCTTAGTGGTAACTTAACATTAATGTTGAAGGTAGACTGGATTTCTGACTTGACCATAATCTTCCTTTTCGTCTTCCACCTCTGTTCCTTCCTCATTCTCTCTCTTCTATTTCTCTCCTTTTAAGTTTCGTGTATTTGGTTGGGTGCATTCCAAGAACCAGTTGGCCATGGTCCATCCAAGTGTGATAGGTTGGTAGGTTGGATGTAATCACATGGTTCATGAACCATTGAATCATCCAATTGTGAATTTTTTATCTCTGGATTAGTATGTTAGTTGGCTAATCCGTTTAAGGGGTTCAGTGACAAAGCATTCTGCCATTGGATGAGAAGTAGTGCAAGTGGCTGATCAGCTATGGCTTAGTGATGTAGCAAGGTGGGCTTGATATGTGAGTTGTGGCCAAGGAGGATGTTTGGGTGAAGAACTCAGGTGATCATATAATCAAGTACAGTATAGAAATGGTATTTAAAAATCAAGGGTGTGTGCTAGAGAGGTGCACCATCATGTTGTTGTTAACCCTTTACCAGTAATGCCACATCTAAGAGAAGAAAGCATCGAATCCTCTCTTTGCTATGGTTAAGATATCCCCTGCTTTATCTGCTGTTGAGAATCCTCTTCCAAGGAAGTCTTCTTTTTTTTCTTTCCCCCCTCTTAAAGTCTATCTAATTATTGCTTTTATCTTTGAAATATCAACTATCTTCTTATTCAGAATGGAAAAGGAGAAAGGAAGAAATTGAACAGGAGGAAACTAGAATAAGATCAACTTGAATGAACTGGAAATTGCAATTGCAGATGTAGGTTCCATTTTACAACAAAATTTTCTGATGTTCTGTTTCTTGACAGGTCAGAGCGGGTGCATTTAGAAATTAGAAGAGGTAATCCTAGTCATTGGCCCTGTTGAAGAATTAGAATCTTGAGGCATGGACTCTGAGATGGTAGTGCATGAAGGTGGGTGCCATTGCAAGAAAGTAAGATGGCGAGTGCAAGCGCCTACCGGGGTTGTGGCGTGGAGTTGCAACTGTTCGAATTGCTCTATGAGGGGCAACACTCATTTTATTGTCCCTGCTGACAGATTTGAGCTTTTGGGTGATTCTGAACAGTTTCTTACTACTTACAGCTTCGGTACTCATACAGCAAAGCATAAGTTTTGTAAGGTTTGTGGGATAACTTCATTTTATTATCCACGCTCCAACCCCGATGGCGTTTCCATCACATTTACGTGTGTTGATCCTGGAACACTAACCCATATTGAGGTTAAGTATTATGATGGGAACAATTGGGAAACCTCACACAATCAAACAGGAATTGCTTCTCAGTCGAAGGGTTGAAGAAATGATTCATGTTGGAGATATCAAATAAGCATTAGCAACAAATAGAAACAACTTTTGTAGTGTGGAAGTTGATGTTCGTCATTGTGTTGCTTGCTCCTAGGAGTTAATCAAGGGCATCGTGTATCTACTGCTTTTCCAATCATGTATCTGGAACCATGACTTGTGTGTAATGCTTCCTTCTAGTTTTTGCTTTGTTTTTGTTTTTGTTCTTTGGCCAAACTATTATGTCCATTTCTAAATATTCCATTTTTAGTGTAAGAAAAGGAAAAATTAGTAAAAACTCCCTATAACTCAGAAATTTATTATTCTTAGGCCGTAAATGGGTTCTATACTATAACCCAGAAATGGAGGACTTAAAGCTAAACAACAAAAATAACTGATGTAGTTTTTGGAGTTTACTGCGAAAAGCCCCCCAAAATAAAAAATTACAAATTTATAAATAAATTCAATCCTAAACATGTATTTATAAAAAAACCCAAATACTATTTAAACATAGAAGCACACCCAAAATCAACATCAAAATCAACAATTGTATATTTTTTGAGTGTGTTTATCAATGGATTTTGAGTGTGTATAATAATGGGTTTTGGGTGTGTTTATAAAGTGTTTTGGATGTTGGAGTTTTTTATAATTTCAGCCCCCATTTTGGGTGTTTTAGTGAAACTCCCTTCTTTTATCTTCTACTATGGAAATTGTCCATCAATTAATAAGCAAAAAAGACCCAACTGATTTGATTTCCGTTTTGTATGCCAAAATCATAGAAAAATCATAGGAAGTTCTTGTACTGTAAGGGACAAGACTTACGCAAGTGAGATGTTCACCCCTTAGGTTATCTCCTTAAGGTTGTTCGTAACATTGTTTTGCTCTTTGCATGTAAAAATTCTTTTTTTTTTTAAAAAAAAAAGAAGATAAATCATAGCCTGACATATATATGCAAAAATAACTCATTAAAAATACAGAAAGATATTTTTAAACACATATATAACTAATATTTATCTATAAAGAAAAATAACTCCTTGCATACATGTGAGAAGCCAAGTATTTTCCCTTCCCATTTATTAGTTGTTAAACGTAGTGATCTTAATCTTATAGAGAAAACGTGTCGGTTGGTTTGGCACGGTTTGGGTGGGATCCAGACTTGAGAGAAAAGTCCTGGCTTTTTTTCCGAGAACTTGAGATGACTCGGCCACTGCAAATCGCCCCTATCAAACAAAAGATTGAATGCTCGCCAGGAAGTTATTGGAAACAAAAAATTGGGCCTGTGTGTGAAGTGGGGGGAAATTTTGTCCGACTACTCCGAACTGTATGTCATTGGCTGGAGAATTTGAGCTCTCAGCACAACACAACCATTTCTTCCTTTAAAAAAAAAACAATTTTTTCTAAATCTTTTTCGGTTTTAAATTATCCGATTTTCAGATTCTAAAATGCAGTTAACAAATAAAAAAGTTGATTTGGTTTTCACCATACCAAGGGGCAGCCCTAGAAAGAGAGATGGGATCATTGGCTTGCAAGTGAACTTGCAAAAAATTAAATAAATAAAAAAATTGTGAACAAAATCATCACCGCCAAATGACTCTTTTGGAAAAGAGCATTGACTTGCAAACCAGTAATTTCATATTCGAACCCTCACATACGCTATAAATATGAAACCAAAGAAGTTCATATACTAAATGATTGTTAATAATTATTAGTTTATACTAAGATCCGTCTCGTCTGCGCCAACTAAAGACTTTGCCATGTCCGGTGGTGAAATCACTGTTGGAACAAAGATATGAACTAGGTAAATAGAAATAGTACATTACCTTATACATAGGTACCTCATAGTCATAGCCTTTAGCCCCCCCATTGGGAACTTTTTATAGCCAAAAGGTGGTGTTTTTTCGGGCTTATTACTGCGAAAACCTAAAAGCCTAAAAAAAACACACCATATATATACACCAAAGGCCAGCTCAATACAGAACAAAAGAAAAAGAAAACAACCGCAAAACAGAGCCACAACAGAAGCTCACATCAGAAAAGCCCCATTGAAATCCTTTCCATATGAAGACTATATCTTGGGATCAATCTTCGCAAGATTTTAGGAATTTGTGAAGGCACTTGTCTATTTCTACGACATGCCAACGAAGTGGAGCCAAAACTTTGAAGCAGTGCCAGTTGACGGGGGCAGAATTACGTTGATCCCCTCCGCCAGATTTTATTGTAGATTTTGTGAGTTAGACAAACAAAAAACATTTTCAGTGGGTACGTAATCTATTAATTTTTTTTCTTTAAAATATTGGATATTATGCGGATTTTGAGTTACACAAGAGGCAACTCTTCCCTTCATCAAGCATCACGTATCAAACTCCCGCCCACAGAAACACTTCCTCGAAGTGGAGACAAGTCTACATTTAACCAAACCAATTATTCTTTTTACTGGTTTTCTATTCATTGAACGAAAAGGTGAACGAAAAATCTTACAGTGATTTGCTTTACAAGAGAGCCTGGAGTAAAAAAAGAAAGAAAGAAGAGAATAATTAATTAAAAAGAAATAGTAAATTTGATTTACATCCTTCAAATTCAATTTGCGTTACCTACAACTCTTTACTTTTTGTTCATACAAATAGTACCTAATTTTTATAAGTAAAATCCATGACTAGGATCCAACTTATGAAGTTACCTTATTAAGCTCAATATATCTGATGTATTATAATTTTTTGATTCTCGAAATACCCCTATTTACAATTCAACATGTAATGAAGTGATGTTTTAATTTTTAGTTCCCCAATTTATTGTGGTGATTCCCTTCAAAATTTTTGTATGCAATTAATTATCCGTTTTATTATTAAAATTCATTAATAGACATAGTCAACAATGAGTTGGCCGGAAATGCTTAGTTTTCCTTATTTGCTTGCCTTTTTGAAATTTTGTTCCATCTTTTCCTTTCTACACATGCTCTCGGATTTTGGTTCAATAAAAGTGCCTCAAGGTTGATTATAAAAAATAAAAAAAAAGTGCCGCAGGGGATTTCATTTATTTAAAAAAATATTTTTAGATTTTGGATTTCATTTATTAAAGTTTTACTGTACCTAGGTTTTTCATGGATAATCATCTACCTTTTTTTTAAATAAATAATAATGTACCTATTTCATGACTTATTTATTTAAATAAAAAATTTATATATAGTTTCTTTTTCTTTTATGAATGATAATATACCTATTAAAGTTTTATTGTACCTAATTTTTCATGGATAATCATCTACCTTTTTTTTAAATAAATAATAATGTACCTATTTCATGACTTATTTATTTAAATAAAAAATTTATATATAGTTTCTTTTTCTTTTATGAATGATAATATACCTATTAAAGTTTTATTGTACCTAATTTTTCATGGATAATAATCTACCGATTATTTTTAGGGAATTTCACTAAAACACCCAAAATGGGGGCTGAAATTATAAAAAAACTCAACACCAAAAACACTTTATAAACACACCCAAAACTCATCATTACACACTCAAAACTCATTTATAAACACACCCAAAAAATATACAATTCTTGATTTTGGGGTTGATTTTGGGTGTGTTTCTATGTCTAAATAGTGTTTGGGTTTTTTTTATAAATACATGTCTAGGATTGGGTTTATTTATAGGTACAATAATTTACCTATGTTATGGATAATATACCTATTACTGCACCTATTAATTTCATCCATAAAATAATAGGTAGACTATGATTTTTTACTGTAACTATGATTTTTTATTATTTTTAAACTAATAATGTACCTATTATATGATTTATTTAAATAGAAAATTTATTTATGTTCCTTTTATTATGAATGATAATATACCTATTATTTGTATGGATAATAATCTACCTATTATCTTTTATAGACAATAATTTACCTATTATATTTTATGAGTAATAATCTACCTATTATGTTTTATGGACAATAATTTACCTATTATCTTTTATGAGTAATAATTTATCTATTATTTTCTCCTATGAGTC